TTAAATGCCTCATATTGCTTCCTCATTAGACTGGGCTTTGCCTCTTAGTGGAGCAGTCTGTAAAACCTGTTCATAAAACTTTATAATTCAAAATTCTTTGCCTCTAGCATCAACATAACTCCAACATTACAACCAAATATAATCAGATTTGAGGAAACAGCTTTACCACCTGTTCACTATTGTTGCATTTGCTTTTTATAGAAAACATATAAACCACTTTTTCCTCCACACTAAAAATTAAATACTCCTCCTCACCAATACACTGGTAAGGAAAGACTAATATCCATTAAAAAGAAGTCAATGGACTTTACAGATTTTATAGTAAACAGAACATATTAACTATAATACATTATACATTTGCATATTTACATTTTACTGTATTTGACTAAAAGTCTGACGATCTCATTTTACTTTTTAAATTCTGAGAACTTCTGTCTTCCTGTGGGTGAACTACTTTGTATACACTACCTGTCTAGATTCAGAAGACATTTTCAGCATTCTGTCAACATATTCAAGTGCTTTATCATTTTTACCTATTAACCACAAAAACATTCCAGCATAATATAATTCATTAGTTCTTCCATTCTTCCTTGTTTCCTTTAATTTGCTTTTCAACTCAAAAACAGCTTCAAGATCTAAAAAGAAAATATTCAAAGAAAAAAAATGTATTAAATATGCCAAATATTAAACAAGAATAACAAAAAAAAGTCAAGTCAAACAAGTCTCCTAAGCCTTGGGACTCTTACATGTGTAGGCAACACTGCAGATTGTTGGCACGGCTAAAATCAAAACCATTTAATGATACTGGCATTTGCTAGATTGGAAACTAAATTAATAAGCTCTTCTTTTTTAGAAGTTGTATCTTTCAAAATGGAATTATTTTTGCACAAAGACATGCTGAAAATTGACACACTTTTCTCCACTGATACAGAATATAACTCTTCCATGTAACTGCTGCTGACCTGTGTGTTTATCTAGTTTTCACTGTGATTTCTCTGCATTTCATGATTTTTCTATACATAAAATTTATAAGCTGTAATACAAGAAAACAGTTACCGCTACTAATTAGTTTTCTTCTAGCATCTGAACTTGTAAAACAGTTCCATAGAACTTGTAAAAATAAAATTTAGCATAGTGCAGAGTCTACCCCAGTTAGCTACATTTAAAAAAAAAAATCTCTTTGTGAATTCTCTTCATGAGAATTTCATGACAAGATCACTACATCTTATGTAATACTTGTGGTTTTATTAGTCTCTTACTTCCTGAAAGTCCTTAAATAGTCTCTTAATCTCTTAAAGTCTCTTAGTTCGTTAAAAACAGGCAAATTGAACATGCAAGAATTGCTTTGAGTCTCAATAAAAGTGAACAGAGTTATATATATATAACTCTTATAAAAGAGCTTTCCAGGACAATTTTACAAACAGCAATACTATTTTTGGCACTATTCAATTTATCAAGTTAAGCAATATAGTCATAATCGATAACAGTACTTAAAATATACTCATGTTTATAAAATTAACTCTGCACTTATTTTGTTCTATAAATCCTGATTTAATCTGGATTAGTGGATGAAATATGGGACTAATGTATCAAGTTCCTGGCTGTTAGAAGTCTGTGACAAATACCTGAAATCATGGAAAAGAAACCTTACCTATATTTTTACATCTCTTGTGTGCATAAATGAGCGCCAAAAGACAGCCCAATGACACATCAGAATGGTTTTTTCTAACACTTTCCAACTGCAGGATGGCGTCTTGTATCTGACCTGTAAAGACATTGCAGATGTTTTGTTGATTCAGAAGTTATTAGCACTTCCTTCAAAAAAAAAAAAAAAAGTGATTTGCACAGATGAACTCTGAGGCACAGCAAGAGCACATTTCCATGAGAATTTTGTAACACATGGAGTTGTAAATGATATGGAGTACTCAAGAAATATGAGATATGAGCACCAAAATCAGAGGTGCTGTGTGGGATCAAACCCAGCTCACCCTTCAGCAACAGTAGCTCTGAGCAAGTGCTTTGTGAAGACTAACAGAAAGCATAAAGGACAAATTCTCCCAGGCTTCAGCTAGTTTCAGTCAGAACATTCTTTTTTTTTTTTTTTTTTTTTTCCTGTGCATTTAGCTGCCCTCTCTAAATGCTTCTTCAATTAACTTGTCATATCTCTCTTTGGGTCAGCACTAACTCAGAGCATCACAGCTTCCTGCAGCAGGAATTTGCAGAGCTCAACTACTTCTTGTACATAGAATCACCTCCTTCTGCGTATTTTGAACCTACGTCCTTGTACTAACTTCCCCATCTTAAACTGAAAAAGAGCTAATATCCAATCCCTAGCTACCCTCTTCATGTCACTAATGGTTTTATAGCACATTCGTGCTTCATCATTCCACATATGGTAACAAGTGATACCTGCATTCATTCTTGCTTTCCTTTTTCAATTTGCCATATTTTTAATTTTTATTTATTTATTTATTTTTGTAAGACGAGGGCAAAATGTGGAAAAACTCTAGGTTTATAGAGTAATTTAACAAAACATTTGTTAAATTGTCTCCAATGCATTTGTCTCCATTCTCTTCCTGACAGTTCTTAATACAGGATTTGCTTTTTTGGTTATTAGTGATCCTTCCTTTTCTATGTCTGTGTAGTTTCTTTAAAAGCCTCTGAAGGAATTTTGGAAATCTATGCAACCAGGATCACTCCCTTTCCGTATGTCTGTGAAATCCTTAAGGACTTGAATAGATCTGTGAGACAGGGCATCTCTTTCTATAAAACATATTGATTCTTCCCAAGAATAAAAATACTTGCTGTGGTATCCTCTGAAAGTATAACCTAGTACATTTTCTATTACTTTGTTGACAGAGGCTTGCAGGCCTTCCAAACCTCTACTATAATCCTATTTAATAATTTAGGATCATGTTTGCTACTGTTTAAGTCACCTAGGGCCCAAGAACAAGAAGTTAAATATAACTGCTATTACCTACTCTTCTCATTAGCGTTCCTCTCTAATGATGGGGCATCATCCAATTATTTTCATCTTTACCCTCTAATTTTTTTTTCTTATTTTCCTTTTGTCTGTTCACTGGAACCTTCACTTCAGTTTAGAACAGGTCCCCTGATGAACCTCTCACAGAGAAATGTTTGGGCATGAGAACTTCCTCACCACCACCCACAATGACCACGATGGCAAATAATTCCTGTAGCCTTTTCTTATTGTGGTAATTCATTTCCTAGGTAATTTCAAATTATGAGCAGACTCCCTTCTCTAACATCTACTTTTATTATGCTTGAAGAAAGATTTAATTTTTCTATTATTTGTCAAAATGCAATTGCAAGACAGTGAAGATTGCACTTCTTCAGTAGTCCATCTGTTATAAATGATACTCTGAGGAACCTCCAAGTCATTTTCAAAAAGCTGTAATTATGAGATCAGACTCCTAGATATATCTAGCAAGAAACAGAATGTATTTAACATGATTTTTCTGAACACTTTTGTGTACTTCTGCCTATACCATATGCTCAATGAAAACGATGCACAGATCTGCAATACTATCTTAGAGATAACACTGGAAAAAAATGTTATTTAAAAAGGATCTTGAGATTCTCATCTTCCTTTGGAAAAGGGTCAGCCAGCCTGTATGGTTCTCAGGCATAAAAAAAAACTGAAAAAATAGAGAATTTAAGAGTTTCACTTGGAAGCAACGACACTGGATAGAGAAAAGCAACTCTTTCTCCTTTCGTCTTTACAAAGCACCTTTGAAACTTAAAAAATATGTGGATGTAACCATATTACCTCCTTTGAAAAAAAAGCACATCTCAGCAGCTAAAGCAGTTACTACCAGTTAGTAATGGTTGCTTTAATGAATGCTTTAATCAACAAATTCAACAAAATGGATGCTTTAATCTCATTAATTACATTAATATAAACACAGTTTGAAGTATTATTAGTATTCCAAAATCTTTCAGAACTTTTCCAACTACATATAAAAGGCAGAAACAGAAGGAAAATAAAACAGAGTAGTACACATATGAAATGTGAGGTGAATGTAAATATCAGTGTTTAATAATTACCTAAACACAGGCTTCCAAATGCCTTGAAAAACAGCAACACGGGGTCATTGAGTTGCTTCTTGAGCTCAGACTCTGCAAATTGCCTCAGCTGGTGGAAATATTTTTCCTGAGCGTAATATACAACATATGCCTGGAGGGAAGGGACAGAGGAGAAGCACTTTCTCTTTCTAAAAGATGTTAAAAATGTAAGGCTAGAAGGAAATAGACTAAAGGAAACAGAAATAGACTAGGATATAGACTAAAGGAGAAAGGGTTTGGGCTTTCTTTTTCTTTCAGAGTTTTGCTGAGGGAATATATTAGAGAAAGCAACTGATTTACAAAAGGGCTTTTTTTTTTTTTTTTCCTGCCCAAACCAAAAGAAAATGACTCAAGCCCCTCGAAACAGGGCACAATTTGCCTGCACCTTCCCTGCGAGCTGCCCACACGAGGGTGGGCTGACCTCAGCCCAGTTCCGAGGTCAGACGGGGGCAGCTTCGGGGCAGCCCCCTCTGAGGAGGCAGCGGCAGCCTCGGCCCTCAGGCCCTTCACAGGCCTCTCCGAGCCGCAGCCCGGCCCCGGCGAGGCTCGGGCCGCCCAGAGGCGGCTCCCTCCCCCGCTCGCTTCCCGCCCCCGGTACCAGGGGCTGGGAGGCGGCCATGGCGGCGGCTCCGGGGCGGGCGGGGGCGGCGGCGACGCGTCCCGGGGCTCCCCCCGCCTCGGACCGTTGGGCGCCTCGGCGCCCGCCCCGTCGCTAAGGGCGTCGCCGCGCCGCGCGCGCCCATAGGCTGGCAGCCCGCCAGGCCGCTCAGCGGCGCGCCCACCTCCGCGCTCCGTGCGCCGCAGCGGGCGCGCGGCTCGGTGCTCGCTTGCTCTGGCCTGCGGCGGCGGGTGCGTGCGGAGCCGCCTGAGCTGCCGTCCCGTGCGGACCGGTTCCGTCCGGCCCGGCCCGGTTCGCTCCGGTTCGGTTCGCTCCGGTCCCACCGGCGGGCATGGGGCTGCGCTTGAGCTCCGAGGCCCCCGACGGCGGCGCCGAGGGCTTCCACGTGCACGGGGTGAGTGTGGACGGGCTGGGAGGTCCCCGGGCCCCGCGCCCTGCCACGGTGGCGGGGGAGGAGCGGCCGGGCCGCCCGGCGCCCTCCCCGCGGCCCGCGCCCGGCCCGAGGATCTTGTCGTTTTCGTGGTGGTTTTTATCTCTGTGCGAGAGCGGGGATGTTGTCGCTAAGGATTTGCGTTCCGTCTCACCGGCAGCTCGTGCTCCTCGATGTCACAGGAAATACCACAAAATAGCCGTGGTTTCCAGGGGATCTCCAGAGATCCTCCGGCCTAACCACATTTTTTTCAAGTAGGTTGTACAGGGCTGTAGTTGATCAGGTTTTGAGTGTCTCTGGAGGCCTCACAAGCTCTTGAGGCATCCTGCTTCAGCCTCCAACCCCATTTCACAAGGAAAAAACATTTCCTTATGGAAAAGGAATATGCTGTAGGACTTCCAGGTCCCTCTCTGCAGAGCTGCTTTCCAACAGATCAGCCCACAGCCTGTGCGGGTGCTTGGGGTTATTCCTTCCCTGGGTTGAACTTCACAAGGTTCATCTCTACCCATCTCTGCACCTGCTGAGGTCTCTGAGTGGCAGCACCAGCCTCAATAGAGTATCAGCCTCTCCTGCCATCTTTGTGTCATCAGGAACCCACTTACAGAGTGTGCCCTCATCGCCATCATCAATGAAGAGGTTAAATTTCTTGGCCCTGTTTCGGTTCCCTGGGAGGCACTGCAGGTGACTGTTGTCCAGCTGGACTTCATGTCCCTGATAATAACCCTGAGGCCACAGTTTTCAATCCACCTCGTTCACTCATTATCCAGCCTGTATTTTATCAGCCTGTCTGTGAGGATGCTGAAGGAGACCGTGTCAAAAAGCCTACTAGTCAGCTAAATCCGCAGCTCTCAGCTTATCAATTCACATGTATTAAGGATATTGTCAAGCCAGCTGCGTTTAGGGCACCAATATCCTTAGTAATCTCCTTTGTTGATCTTCTCAACTGAGTTAATCAGGAAAATCCATAGGCCATGAAACACTTCTCTTATGTTAAGCTGCCAGTACTGGAAGGTGGTTGAAGATTTTCATGATCTACAGTGTGCAGGAAATGCAGTCATATATATTTATATATAAAAAATACATATTTTTTTATCTTCAGGGACCTTGCATAATAGCACTTCCAGTATGGTGTCATTCTGACATGAAATACTGAGTTTGGTGTGGCTGACAACTTCATGTGGAAATCTGCATGTCTTTATACACATGCTGAACAAATCCTCTGAAGTCCATAAACTACTGCTGCACAATAATTTTTATTCATTTAGTTTTGTGTGCAGTTCGATCCTTGAGCACACATTTCAGACTTTGGATACTAGTTCCCTGATAATTTCACTGCAAAGTTTCTTTCATTTGTTTTAGAACTGGCAGAGTTTTACCTTTAGGTTGATTCAGCACAACCTGGCAGCTTGCCATTGATGCAATTTAGGATTATTGTGAAGGTTACTGATTATAAGAAAGGATTATAGTGTTGCCAAAGTGCTATAAAGTATGTATAGCTCCTGGAGTGGAATTTGTTTGCCATCAATTTCTTAGTTTAGATGATGTCCAGGTTGTAATCGGTTTTTGAAGTGTGGGATGGCTTTCAGGTCTCTTCAAGTATCCTACAAGTTATGGGTTGCTGGGTTTGCAAAAAAAGCAATAGTAAAGTCACAGCCAATGCAAATCATTAGCATGTTTGCAATACCTCCATTCATACTGTCTTGCTTTGTTAGCATGCTGCTAAATAGATACATTCTCATATACCCTATATATATTTTTACATATTTTTTGTATTACCGTTGTCTGAACTGTGTTTTAATAGGTATTATCTATGTTTCTGTATTGTACCTATTTTGTGATTACTTGTTTATATTGAAATTAAGACATTATGACACTTATGCGAACCTACTTTTCAAAGCTTTTATAAGTTATGTCAAGATCTTACTTTTGACAAGTGCTTGTAGATAGCCTTGTGTTTGTGGCATATTTACTACTTCGGTTTTCCCATTCGAATGTGCTGTGGATTGTGGTAGTCAGTGATTGTGAAAAAAGTTGTTGTATAACTGGGACCTCTTAATGTCCTCCAGCAATTAGTGTGTAAGAAAATGATGAACTCACTCTTTGAAAACTAAGCTCCTCTCCAAAGTGCTCAGTCTTTAATAATTCCATGTAGTGCCCTCTGCATCATGAGCTTCTTGTGCAGTAGTTCACAAACCGTCTTCTGCAGTTGTTTTGGACACTTGTTAAGTAACGCTAAGAATAAAATCACAATGCTGGATCACTTCCCAAGATTTCTTATTTGCTGCTTCATTTCTAGTTCAGTTCAAAAGTAAATATTGAATTAAGTGTAAAGATTAGTACTGTACCAATGAATAATATGCAGTAAAAATAAAACGTACATTTTGCAGGTTCAAGAAAACTCCCCAGCTCAGCAAGGAGGATTGGAACCTTTCTTTGATTTCATTATTGCAATAGGACACACTAGGCTTGTAAGTCCCATGATTTTATTATTTTCAATAAAATACAGTATTGTACTCCTGAAAGGTCAACCATGAAGTGTTACAGTAAAGGAACTTGTTATATTGAACAGCACATGCATTAAAAATGTGATATAAAATTTAATTATGTTTAAAATCCTCTCAGGTTGTCTTGATTCACTTGTGAGGAAAAGACTGACCCTATCAGTAGATTTAACATAACATTCATCATATTACTCACTTATACCTACTTTCTGTCACCAAGTGAATATTGAAATTGTGAGTCAGTGGTAAGAGCTCAAAATTTGTTTAACCAGCCTGTTTCAACCCTTGATAAAACAAAACAAAATAACGTTGACAAGAGGAAAGGTGCCACGTGGCATTATCTGCGTGTGCCTTAAGACCAGTTCCTGCATGGTGAGTGATGAAAGAAGAGTTGAGTAATTTTTAACATTTTTAAGTGAAAATTGTGAGCCTTTTATACACCTCATCCTAGTTACATGCCAGCTGAAATCATTAGTTTTGCCTAGCTTTTTATTAGCGTGCATGTCTTTCTGGAATTGGCCGTTATAATGGAATATTCCAGTGTAAGATTTGTCAGGATACTGTGCCAAAATAATGATAGTACTTTAAATTGTTCCTAAATATTCTGATCTTTCGTGGTCGGATAGCAATGACTCTTAAGTGATTAATGAATAAGGAAGAGGTTTAGAGGTGCAATAGAAAATGTTGCTGCTTACTCTTACTGTTACATAGTTGAGTCTGATATTGCTGATGTTATTTTATAGTAAATAGGAGTGGGACAATATGTGATGAAAGTGAGTAATAGAGATTACTAGTATAAAAGGTCATAACCTGATATAGCTGACTTTATTTTTTTATTTATTTTTTTAACAGAAAGTTTAATTGTTGGGACTGTGGAAGGCAGACCCTAAATTTTTCACTGCCAGTAGTTATTATTTCAGCCTCTTTCAGACTTGAAATCTATGTGTTACAGATAAAACTATAAGTCATGTTAATGAGGCACCTCTTTCTGTGCTCTACAGAATAAAGAAAACAATATGCTGAAAGATCTGCTGAAGGCAAATGTTGAAAAACCGGTGAAACTGGAGGTGTATAACATCAAAACAATGAAAATAAGAGAAGTGGAAGTGATCCCCAACAACATGTGGGGAGGGCAAGGTCTTCTTGGTGCCAGCGTGAGGTTCTGCAGTTTCCAGGGAGCCAATGAGCATGTGTGGCATGTCTTGGTGAGACAGATCTCTTTGCTTGTCCAACAAGTGGCTAAGCTAAGAAGAGAGTTTAAATTGTGATATCAGAACTTTTCCAAGATGTTAACATGTGTTTTAACTTGTCAGGGACTATTCTGGCAGGAGGGTTATTGTTTTGGGGGTAAACTTTATTTAAAATAAAAGCTACTGAAATTGCATACAAGAAGAAACTCTCTTGAAAGTTTCTTCGTGGTCAAAGCCATCTGTGTAGGGACAAGTAGTGAGTGACTATTAGCATTGCCCTGGCATGTGGACATTTGCTGCTTATTTACCCATGTGTGTCACAGGAATTAAGAGCAAGAAACAATGGGACATGCAAAAAGCATGCCTCTCTGTTGGCTAAGCTTCGTAAAAGTAATTTTTATTTAACAAAGCATCCAATTATTTTTAATGTAAGTTGAATATTCTTGTTGAGTGAGAGCAAGAGAGCAGAACAGCCTAGGAAAAGTGGCAGCAAACTTTTGTTCTATTTTTGTTTTATTTAAAAATAACTTCAAAGTCATCATATTATTTTGTATTGGTAATGTCCTAATACATATATGTATGTATATTTTAATATATCTTGCAAGATGGTACACTCAAATACAGACTCTTCAGAGGCTTCTTTTTTTGTCCTGTAATGTTCGTTGCCTCTGTAGTTTTTTTCAGGTTAATGGTCTGTTTTGATCTTTTTGTATCTTACTGAGCTGTGCTTTCTGGTGACATATGTTGTGCTTTTGCAGGACGTTGAACCTGCGTCTCCTGCAGCTCTCGCTGGTCTGCAGCCATACACTGACTACGTTGTTGGATCTGATCAGATTCTTCAAGAGGTAGGGCATATGTTCCTCTAAGGGTACATTGTATTTATTTTTTTAATATTATTTTTTGCGCAGCAAATGTACATGGATAGTATCTTTTGGGAGATTGATTTTTATGGTAGACATGCGGGTATATATTACTTTTTTCTTGATTTATCAAATAAGTTGCTATTATAGATCAGACTAGTGATTTTTGATGAGTATTGTTGGGTCTTGGCATTGATCACTTGATCTCATTTAGAAGTAAAAAACTGTCTAAAAATTAACTTAGTTCCAGCCCCTTGTATGACAGATTTGAGTAACTGAGTAACTTTTTTTTTTTTTTTTTTTTTGGTTACTATTATTTTTTCTTTGCTTAGTCAGAGGATTTCTTCTCGCTGATTGAATCCCATGAGGGGAAGCCACTGAAGCTGATGGTTTATAACACTGAAGCAGACTCCATTCGAGAGGTAGTTGTGACTCCCAATGGAGCTTGGGGTGGAGAAGGAAGGTACTGATCTGTGGTCAGTTGCTGACTGTGATGACAGGTTATACATTTACTGTAAATGAGCTCATATTAAGAGTAATATCACTGATGCTAGCTTTTTCAAGTTAAGTCTTGTTTTCCTACATTTGTCACATAAAAGTGCTCTTTCAGGAAAAAAAATAGCTTAGAAGTATGAAGACATGTTCTGCATCTATTGTTGTTTGATTTGAAAGCAATGGCAGAACTTACATTGACTTTTCTGGCAGCAGATTTACCGGCTGTATTCTCCCGGTCAAGTATTCAGTAGAGCAAGAACAACACTCAGATCAACTCAGAGTGTGTATTCTGTAAAGTTCATTAGAAGTAAATCAAACAAAAGTAGAGCTATGTATATATTCCTAATTATCAAATTAAGTGTTTCTTATGTATCAAAAATAAAATGAATTTTGCAGATAGGTTTTTTTATGGTAGATAGTACTCTAAAATGCTGTTACTCTTTTATTTTAAAGAGTCAAAATTGAAAACACAGGTTTGATGAGAATACCTGTTTCAAGTCTTGTTCTGCTTTGTTTGTGCAGTTTAGGATGTGGCATTGGATATGGCTATTTGCACAGAATTCCAACACAGTCTGTATCAAAGAAAAAGCCAGAAAGCAAACCACCCTCACCCTTATCAGAAATCAGGACTCCTGAACCATCTTCTAATGGTTACACAGAGGTATGTAAGAAAGCTTTCTTTCTGGGAGTCCTCTAGATTTGTATCAAAATTTTATACTTGTTAGGACATTCATAAATACAATATATTTGAGTACAGCATAGAATTTTGTTTGAATTAAATTGAACTAGGTGAAGGGCAAGTCCAGTCATTCTAAGCAAGAATAACATTAGAGAGATCTTTTTTATTTATTTATATTTGTTTCCTGAGATGTTCCCTCATTTCTGCAAACCTGCATGTGGGAATCTTGCATGTTTTTCATTGTACTTGAATGCAATTAGAGATATTCCAGTTACTTTTTTATCTGGGTGGGCTGAGGTAATTTTTTGCCAAATACTTCTTGTTCTAAAGCTGTATCATTTAATGAGAACCACATTAGAAGAATCACCAGGAGATAAAATATATACAAGGAAATATTGTAGATTTTTCTTCTAAGATCATACAGTCCTTGAAAGGGTACATTAGAGCCTGTCCTAATCAGTGACCTGATTATCAATTTTAGTACCACAGATTATATCTGAATTGATATAATTGAAGACTGAGGTGAAATGCTTTCATAGGAAAAGTCGTCTTCAAGTGAATAAAAACTTACTTTGATTTTTCCTTCTGTGTTCCTCCAGACTCCGTTAGTGGCACCTACTTCTCAGAGTGAAAACTCTGAAATAGTTATGAGCTTGGATCAGTCTACAGATCAAGAAATGAGTGGTTATTCACCAGAAAGCTCACTTTCTCCTCCTCCTCCTGTCCAGAGAGTTATGGATCCAGGTATGAGTGTGTGTGTGTGTGTTCTCTTTTTTGTTAGTGATAGTTCCTCCTTTCCCCCCAGCAATTTCTTAGAGGACACCTAAGCAAACTAATAAAATCTTAAACAAATTTGAGACCTTGACTATAGTGGATTTCCGAGCTATAGCATTTTCATACTATGCATCTGACTAAGGGTGATGAAACCTGTGGAAGTCTTTCCACTGACTACACCAAATTCAGATTTTTAAATTCTTGTTTTTCTTGTGTTTTGTGAGGAGGTTACTTCATTGTTTTCTATCTGGATATAATACATCTTGGTGAATCTAGAACTTTGTACTGTATCTACAGCAGAATTGCAATGTTTGGTTTCTCCTTTAGGATTTCTAGACATGTCTGGTATTCCATTTCCTGACCTCACCGACTCAACAAAAGTGTCTGACATATCTGCCACCTTCAAGATGCCAACAGCAGAGACTACAGGAGATGCTGAAAATCTAATGTCTAACAGTGAAGTTACTGGTTATTTTGGTAAGTAAGTGTATTCAAGATTGACACACCTCTGACTTAAACTCTAGAATGGTATTGGTTCATGCTCAGTCATCAGTGTCAAGCTTCTTGGAAATAATATTAAAAAGCTTTCCTTTCAGCTGAAAAATCAGAAGAGGATTTTGGCTAAAATGAGGTGGAAGAAATTGTATAATTCAGCTGTAGAAACAGATGAAAAGGGGCATTTTTATACAATTGTGAAATGTGGCTTTTATTCTTTAACTGAAGATAGTGGTGATCCAAATTAAACTGAGCTTACAGGTACCTATTTCTAAAATCAATGGCAATTTTTGCACTATAGGCTTGTTCTCACATTTTCAAATATGAAAACAAAATTGCAGTCTTTTTATAGCAACCCTTCTATTTAGAAAGAAAAATTCTTCACTGTGTGGTTTCCCTTTAAGAAGGGGGGTGGAGGACTAAGAATTGTAACACTGAAGAAAACATCTGTAGTGTAAGAACAGTGTAGACTGAATGGTTCACATCTCCTCAAACCTACTGCACCTTCAGAGATTCTGTGTTTCACGAGAACCGAGCAGACACAGCTTCTGTATGTATTTTATCAGGAAATGAATTATGGATCTGTTATGTCACAGGTATTTCATTCAAGCAGAGAGTCTAGAAATACGGAAGCCAGGGCACTGTCCATCAGCTTGACGGGTTTTCACTTTTACAAATGATTTCCTTTTCGCAGAGAATCGCTTGTCTTTGGACCCTGAAGACTTGACTGCATATTCGGAAGGTTCAGCTAAGCAGCCCGAGCTGGATCAGCCAGTACCCTCGGTTTCAACTCTACCTTCTCTTGTTCTTCCTAATGAAATTTCAACAACAACACTAGGAACTGATCCAAATAACCAAGAGACAAAGCTACTCTTAAACAGTACTGAGAACTCATTATCCACTACTACATCCAAACCTGATGAAGAAAAAGGTGTACAGAAAGAAGCAGCTACACAGGAACAGTGAAAAGGACATTTCTTTTGTTGCCAGACTGTCAATATGCTGTAATGCTACAGCTTGGAAGATTTTTCTGATCTCTTGAGGGAATTAGAGCCATTCTGTTTGGTTAGTGTAGACATTATAAAAATATGTAAACTCATATGCAAAACCTATTTCCTCCCCTCATGGTGTGATTAGTGTTCAGACTTTGTTTGAATACAGTTCAAAAATCAACAAATTATTCACTTCCCTTAAAAGGACAAATTAATGCAGAACTATTTGGACACACATAAAGTTTCAGCTTCTTGGATTGAAGGTTGTCTTGCAGTTGCTCTTCAGTATATTTTTATGAAGGCCTGCCTGAATTGTGACCGTTAATGATGACTCTGTAAGAATGTTTGGCATTTCAAAAGAAATTTATTTTACAACTTTGACTTGCTGGAAAGATTTGCTAATAGGTCACCTTGGTTTGGTGGATCTTTTAAGATACCCTCACTACCCCAAAATACCTTTATTCATCCCTGCTACACTGCAGACTGTTTTTCTTGTTTTAGCCTTTCCCTTCTCTGTGACATTTATTCCTATCTTCTCTAAAACATTTTTTTTCAGGAAAGGAAGTAGTTTTAAGTTTTGAAATGGCCATATAGAGATAGGAGAACTTGGAGTGGGTGTGTTCTGTTGCTTTAGCTCTTCAGTGAATTATATGATGGTTTCACAGTTTAAAAATCAAGGGAAGAATGCTGATGGTTATTTCAAATAAAGTTTATTAAAGATGATTCAGGTCAATTCCATGTGAATAGAGGATGATAAATCTTGTAAAAGACATTGAATGTGTCTTTATTTCTCCAGTAATGAAGGAATAGATTTTATGGCTCTGCTTTTGTGTCTTCCCAATTAGTATTTTTATAAAAATCCAAGTTGAGGACACTGGAATGGAACTCACTGTGTAACACATCTGTTGCGCCTTAGAGCTTTATTTTTTTGTTTGCATTTGCCTTGAAATATTTTCCACTGTTTGACCTTGTGTTACATGATGAGTAAATAAAAGGTATCAATTTAAGAAAACTGAAGGTTTTAATACTCCCAGGGCATTAAAAATTTATCATGAAATTTTAAGCTGGTTGGGAATAATTCATGCAGTTACTGTGATGAAAATCCTCTGCAAAATTAAGAATGAGGTGCAATATTGAGACTTAAGCTCTAAGTTTATAAGTTTATTTGGCACAATAGTGTCAAATTCCCTCCTTGGGGAGGGATGGGGATTCTAGGTCAAGCAGACCTGCCTGGGCCATCTCCACCTGAATGGTGCAGAGGAAGCCATCTACAAGGGCCAGGTCTTCAGCTGATACCCTGTTGAATAAAAACTCTTCTTAGAATTTCTTAACTAGGGTCTTTACTGTTAACAGTACCATTAAGACTGTGCTAGTCTTAACACATAGCACGTAGTAGCTTAGAATAGAAAGGCCCAAGCTCTTTTTTTTTCCCCTTAAACAAATGGGGTAAATACTTAACTACGGCTGTTAATTATTCAGAAATTAAGCGATCTGAAGTCTAGTTTGCTAAAGGGTTTGTAGTCTCTTTCTTCTTACTCTCTCTTTCCTCACTACTGAAATAAACTTCCTCTTTTTCCCTTCCTCTAATGGGCAGCTACAGGTGTGAATATCCAAAAATTAAGAATAAAGAAAATGTAATTTAAGCTATTACTAAGTTTTTTTGTTCAGACTTGGCGCCTGATGATTAAAGGCACCTAAGGGTTTTATGGTGAACTTTGGTTTGTTCAAGATGGTTCTCTACATCTTTGGCATCTATGCCAAGACTACATCTTTGTCAACGCTGTGTTTTTAAGCTTACTTAAGTGATGGTGTAGCCTGGGCACACACCAGAAATTTCAAAGCAGGAACTGTCCAAATTCAGACTTCAAATGTCATAGTAATAAACAGCTTAACCTTTGCAGTATTGTGTCTAGCCTGCTTCATGTTAATTGCATCTTTCTTGAGTTAAAAAAATCAGCATATATAAAGATTTGATTCCTCATAAGGGTCAAAGAAAAATATTTGATATGCAGATTTAGGAAACTATACAGACTTTTAACCCCTGGCAGTAGAATGTTGTTTTCACGTAACATAGAACTGCATCACTTAAATGCTAAATGAAGGTTTAATATCCTAAATTCCTTACCCCTGACTAGTTGGAGAGCACCGTTTGAGATGGATGAGGAGGAAGTGCTCCTTTACTAGGAGAGCAGAGGTGACAGAGCTGCTTAGAAATTCCTCACTTTCCAAATACAACCTCAAGTATGGGGACGAGAAGCTCCTGGGTGTGGGAGGTTCCAAGGTTTGTGCTACACAAAGATGGATCCGATTGTCCTGCTGGTTTCTGGTGCATGGGCTCCCTCTGCGACTGTCACTGCTGCAGCTACAGCCATTGGAAGTGCCATCAGTGCCATCCTGTCAGGTGCAAGACTGTATTGGTGATTCATCATGTCATTCCTTCATTTGTGGAAATTCAGGAAATGAATTATCCATGCTACAGCTGAAAGAGGGGAACATATTCCATAAGGCCTCTGAGAAAAGGCCGCTTTTGAAGCAAAAAAAGCTACCATTGACCTCAGATGAGCTGTGAGAGGTTGAATTAGGTTGAATTATGCATTTCTAGCTCCCTGGATGGTTTTTGTTTGTGTTTTGGGTTTTTTTTCAGTAACGAAGATTTCATGCCTTTCAAAGTGTGATTCATACAGCACTAATGACTCCAGCACCAACTAACTAGGGGCTTGTGAGGCCTTGGCCAGGCATTTACCCACGTCCTGCCCTCACAAATTCAGCAGAAAGGGAAAAATCTCACAGGATCAAGTCTTCAATCCACAGCTCCCCCCACAGCTCTTACCACTCCTCATCTCCCCTTTCCTGGAGGAATGTGTTTTCCTCCAACCAGTACTTCAAGATCAAAGCCACCACTGCCTCTGGCTGCTCTTAAAGCAGCTATTAATTAGGTGCAGGCAAATTAAATGGGATGAGTAACCTGGTATTTCCTGGGCATTACTACTAATCCTGTACTTGCTCCCTCTTTGCCTTAAGCAAATTTGCCGTGCTCATTTGCCTCGCTTTTCCTGCAAGGGAAATTTCAAAGGAAGTGTTTGGGTTAGGTTTCATTTCTAAACTATGTCAAGTAATTGAGCATCTATAGTACCATAAAATAATTGTCTGGAAAAGTGTCAGAATACCCTTGATGTTTGTGCAAAGTGACCTTCCATGTGTGTCTAAAAAGGATGCAACTGCTTATAGGAAAGCTCTGTTGTTTAATACCTACCTGAGAAAGTACCTGGATGGTAACTCAAGCTGGCTCTGTTCAGGAACCATCAGCACACATACAGGTAAAGATCCTTTGCTTAAAGCTTCATTATAATTGCCCAGTTCAAGAAACTCTTGGGTACAAGGTCTGAATCAAGTCTGGATTAAGTGGAACCTCTGTGAAAGGAAAATTAGTACCTAGACTAAGTGATTCTAGCACTTCAGCTATAACTACTGAATCAGGCGTGTCTGTTTTCAGTTTTAGCTCTAAAAGAATTAGGACTACCAGGGCTAAACATGAACTGTTATCAATTAACTATTGATTTTTTTTTTTCCCTGAGTACAGATTATGCCACTAAGTAATAGATTTACAGGTCCTTTTCCATGGTCCTTCACAGCATTTGTACCAGGGGCATGTTACGGCCCTGCAGCTATTTGAGCCATTCCATTGTATGAGCCACCTTTCAGTACTATGTAGTACAACCCTTTAGTGGAAATAACTGCCACTAGGACAAGAGGAAATGGCCTCAAGTTGTGCCAGGGAGGTTCAGGATGGATATCAGGAAAAACTTCCCATCAGGAAAGAGTGGTGAAGCGTTGGAAGAGGCTGCCCAGAGAAGTGGTGGAATCACCATCCCTGGCAGTGCTCAAGAAAGGTGTAGAGGTTGCTCTAGGTGTGCCTGCTTGAGCAGGAAGGTTGGACTAGATGATCTCTAGAGGTCCCTTCCAACCTTGAACACTCTGTGTGATTCTGTGTGACTGCACGTAGAGGAGGCACTTGGGGACGTGGGTTAGCGGGCAAGGGTGGTCATGGACTCCATCATGAAGGTCTTTTCCAACCATAATGATTCTCTGGTAAATGGCCCAATTTCTAAGTTTGCACAGGTGATCCAATAAACAAAACAACTTGAAAATATTTTAACTAAAGCCTTTTTATTCTATACAACTGTGAAACAGATCATTTACCCTTCTGGCATTGCAGACTCTTCTGTCAATCTTTCCTGAAACTGCATTATTGGGATGGTTAGAAAAAAAGAAAAATTAAGACCTTCGCTGACTGCAGACAAAATAACTGGGAGCAATTACAATGTATACAAAGGGATAACAAGACAAGCAGGAAAAGGGTCTATTAGAACAAAGCATAGATGGACTCTTGCTATTAATAAATACAAGTCAGGACAATTTATCAATAAAAGTTACAGTTCTGTTTAACCATTCAATTCACAAGTATCACTAAAAAAATGTGCCATGATAGCACAGTTGGGTCCAACTGAGTATACATAGAAATGGGCTTAAAAAAAGTCGACTCTTCCAAAAAATGGGAAAAAGACATGTTAGCTTAATTCTGAACCATAATTTTCTTGCTTAAACAATGAGTGTGATTAGGTTAACAGTACAGAAGGTAATGATTTGAATATTTTTTTAAAGTAAAATACAATGAAAATATTTTACTTTTTCTTTGACCAATACAATCCCAGTAATAAAATCTATAGGGACTTTCTTTAGGCCTCAACCTAAATCCTCACAGCAAGATACAGGAAGAGCAAGCGCGTATGTCTCCTGAAGAAACTCCAATCATACACTGCCCTTTGAAGGCACTTGTGCTTCTGCTTCCGACAAGAGTCATTTTTACACAATTTCTTTGTGAGAATTTGGATTTTTTTTTTTTATGGATAAAAATGGTTGCCTGGGATGATCCCACATTTTCTCACCAAAAGTTCAAATGCCGTTACCCCCTCCCCCCAATAAGTTAAACTCTATAAAAGACTATGAGTCTATGACAGACATAGATTTTTAGAAATAACAATGAAAAGAAGATCTGCATACATCTATAACAAAAAACCCTGCATATAAAAATTTGGGGAAAAAAAAATGAGTATTTTTATATCATGGTTATGAAATCTGCTGTGGAGTTTCTACAGTTCGACATTAAACATACGGAGTTATTTCCAGAATGGTCTTAACAAAATGTCATGTATTTCAGAGCACAGTTACCAGAAATTCTGACTAGTGTGTCTTTAGAAGAACCAGGACAGTGCAGAAAGTGGTTATACAAACTATTATGTTTTTTAAATCTTAAGTTGCTGCAAAGCATGATTACTTTGTTGCGATGCACAGCATCACTGGACTGACCCCGCTACAATATTTATCTAGTGTTCTTGTTCTGCATGTCAGTAGCTCTCTAAAGCAATATTTGAGTTATAGCATTAAAACAAGCCTGTTGTTAACCCTTCACTTACAATTAAACTGGCCAGTTCTCTCGAGTATGCAATAGCTTTTTCTGCTGTATTTCTTTTTTTTTTTCTCCAAATTCAAGTGGCAGAAATGTCTGAGTAACCTGTGGAAAACCTAGTTTCTGGTTACTTTATGAATGGAATGTACTAAATTCTGAATTTTGTTGTGAACACAGCAACTAACATGGCCCAAACTGTTTCATATCAAGCATGAGCAGATGAGAATATAATGTTCTGTAAAAACAAAAGCAAAAAAGGAGGCAGCAGAAGTCTGCACTGGATCATCATCCATTCTCTGTACACCTCACACAACATGAACCACTCGGGGGCTTTCCCATCTCATTGGCTGAGATTAGGACAGACTTTAGTTTAAGTCATATAGATTTTTTTCCTCTATATTACAGATCTATTAGTCACTTCAATTAAATGTATACTTTCTGTCCATACTGACTCATTAGAAGTCTCATCTACCTTAGGGGTTCAGTGGGCTTCTATAGGAATACTCTTGGAACCAGTACAGTATGGTCAAGTAAATGAGCAACCAGCTGAGTCCACCTCTCCCTTCACGTTGACTTCTGGCGATAGTGGAGGGTCAGGTCACCACCGCTCTTCCATATGAAGTGCTTTACAGTTCGAAGGTCCATATTCGGATCCAGAACCTGAACAGTAAGAATGCATCTTTTATTCTACAAATCTGCTGGATTATCAGAAATGCAAAGATAAAACACCTCGGTGTTTTCACTGAAGTGAATTGGCATCCAAGAAAAAAAAAACCACACAAATGCTCAGATTTTTCAATTAGCAAGTAAACCTGAAGGTCAACAACACTGTCGAGGTATTTCATTAATGTAACA